CTGGTATTCACACGACCTAAGCCTCGAACCATTAAATATGAAGCTTGCTTATCACACTCCTTGTGATAGGTTTGGCGTATTAGGTAAAATAGCCTGTATTAGAGGAATCGATTATGGAATGAAATCTATGGCATACTAGAAGACTTTTAGTGGCTACCACTCGAGTGGTAAACCGTTTGTCAGGACTTCTGACAAGTCTCTCAACACGGGCTGTCTCTTTTATAGTATTAGCTCCTCAGACTCACAACCTTTCATGGCAAACAATGTTAGTGATGCTTAGCTAGAATGATTAATATTTTTCTCATGTTGGTTGCTAGTTGATTCTTCTCTTTGAAGTCTTCATTCTCTTCCGTGTCACTATCTATTTCTTCAACTGTTCTCAACTTGATGAACGATAACATTTTCTTGTTTAGGCAATTGGATGCAACATGCTCAAAATTGTGGCACTTAAATCAATTTCTAGCTGGGATGGATTTAGGAGTAGTGGCAGTCTCCAACTTTTTCCACTCTGTAAAAGTTTCTCCTTTAGCATGGTTGACATGGGTGCTCCTATGGGTCTACACTTGCCGCCAAATCCAATGGTTATATTTTATTTGAATGGTAGTGTGGACTTGATATTATTGTGTTGCCCTTTACCTTTTGGGCAAGGGTCTAGACATCCTGTAATATCTAATGGAACTGTAAATGTACTAATTTATCAATGTATGATATTAATCCCCCAGATATCGAGCTATGGTACTCACCTCGGGCTCTACTAGTTCACACTTCAATATAAGCTGCTTGAACTCAATTATATGCTCTTCTACTGAGAGATCCTTTTTTTTTTAATTAGTGAAATCTCAAGAACACATACTACTCGTAATGTTTTGGTAGATACTTGAGTTGTATCTTTCATTTCATTTTGGATCGTAGCAAATTTAACTTTTTTTCACACACTAGTGTAAGTGCTTCAAGTTTTCCCACCATAAAGGAGGATTTTTCCTTAACTAAATAGCATTTAGCTTGATTGATGCCAGTCAAAGGGGGGGTTGTTTGCTGATTTCAGCAAGGAAAGTGGAAAAAACTGAGAAAAATAATGAACAACATGAAGAACAAGATAATGACTAAACATCATCTCGACAGTAATCCTAGTTGTAGTTGCAGGGCAAGGTTTGGATGAACCGACACCTCTAAAAAGAAGGGAAGACAAACACAAGTCTTAAAACCCTTATGTTCTCAGCCCACACAAAACAACCACTATCTATAAATGCTAGACTCTCTTAATTACAAACATGCCATCCCAAAACTTGAAGACATAAATAACAAACTAAAACAACAAACAAAGACATATATTGAAATAAAATTCTAGCTCTCGAACTTTTCTCCCGAGGTTTGCAAGGTTCCCTCATATTGAACTATCTCGGAATCTGATTCGTAATGAGCAGCCAACTCGAAGACATTGAAAGTGGAGTCGCTCTAATCTATATGTAGGGCAAGTTTGGTGAGTCAAGCATCTTCTAACATTGCCGCTGTTGAAACTGGATCAAGGGGTTTCAACTCTAATTTTGAAGCTTCTCAATTTAATTGACATCAAATTCTTTTCTTGAGAATCAGGATCAATTTCTTGAGAATCAGGATTAATAAGTACAGTTCCTGCTCTGAGATATTAAACCTGTTTCATATCAGGGCCTTAGTGATTGAGCTTTCATGCTTTGTTGCTGTCGAAGCAATGATACTTGATCCATATGATCATGTATATCTATTTAATGCTGATGATTAAGAGAAGCATAATCAACATATCATCTAGTTTAATCGCTCTGCAAATCTATTCTAGTATGAGAATCTTCACCATCAGCTCTTCTGTCAATTGCATATTCAGAATTTTCACTCCTGAAAACTGGCCTCATTTCTTAGCATATCCACGATTAGAGGCCAAAAATATTCTTAGTCATACGCGTTGTATATGAACATTGATGATGATTATAACATTAAATTTTCAAACCCACAAAATTTCTAACCCATGAAAAACTTGAGGCTTCTCGATGAAGTTGATTTTTATTCCCTTCTCATACTGCCTTGAAATCCTGTGCCACTTAGCGTTCCTCCGTATTTCTGCTCCAAGGCTGAACGTTCGTCTTGCATACACTGCATTTCACGTAAAAGATACTCGATGGATACTTTTTGATTGGTTCTTGGCACGTTCTTGCGTGGGGGCATTATGTTTTGTTGGAAAGTTGTAGTGGAAAGAAGGAGAGAATGCAGAAGCAGCACTCCCATGAAGAACAAGAAGACAAATACCTTGTCCTTCTAAAACTGGGTTTTAGCCAAAAAGATCAAGAAGAGAACTGGTTTGTCTTGTTCCGAGAAGTTAAAACCTCGTCTCAAATTCTCAAGACATAAAAACAACAGAAGGCTGCAATCAAAATGAGACAGCAATTGATGCCATAGCAGGGAGATAGGAAACCACCGCAACAAGGAGAAAGAAATATAGTAGGGAAACCAACCAAAAAATGATAACAGAGAACAAAAAGTTCAGATTTATGAAAACTGGAAACAACAATTGATGAAAGAGCTCAATTGCACACAATATATTTCAGGAATTTAAAGACGATCTCAACTGGTTCAAGAAAGGATTGGATGTAAGAACCCCAAAGATCTGATACCGAAATTATACCGACCAAAGGGGGGTAGTTATTGAATTTCGCAAGAGCAATGGAAAGAATCGAAGAAAAAAATGAATGATATGAAAAACAAGATTATGGCTAAACACTACTTGGGCGTTAAACCAGGATCTAACTGCAGGAAAAGGTTTGGATGGACCAAATTCTCCTAAGAGACATGTCAAGTCTAAAAACCCTTTTGTTCTTATAGCGCACACAAAACATCCCCTATTTATAAAGGCTAGACTCATCTAATTATAAGTATGCCATCCTAAACATAAAGATAGCTAATAAACTAAAACACGCAAATCAAGTGATATAAATCGAAATAAAACTCTTATTTCCCGCATCATTTACTCTTTTTTCAGGTGGAACACCTTTATACTCGAGACATCTTGTTTGATGAGTTCGTCTAGATTCATGACGTCTTGTTCTTCCAATGAAAGTTTTGACGAAAAAGAAAAATATGGTTTAGGGTTTGGGGTTAGGGTAAGGGCTAGGTCTAGGGCTTATGGATGATGTGGGGAAAATTTTTTTTGGCGGGGGCATTAGGTTATGCTGCATGGATTCTTGGTTTAGGTTTAGGAAAATTTAGGGTTTGATAGGCTCTGATATCATATTACATTGTTCTATGGCTTCTAGAAGATGTTTCAGATGTGGGTTTTGCGGGGAGGTAGTTGTGGAAGAGCATGAGAAGGAGGATAGCAGGAAACATGTCAAGTCTAAAAACCCTTTTGTTCTTATAGCGCACACAAAACATCCCCTATTTATAAAGGCTAGACTCATCTAATTATAAGTATGCCATCCTAAACATAAAGATAGCTAATAAACTAAAACACGCAAATCAAGTGATATAAATCGAAATAAAACTCTTATTTCCCGCATCATTTACTCTTTTTTCAGGTGGAACACCTTTATACTCGAGACATCTTGTTTGATGAGTTCGTCTAGATTCATGACGTCTTGTTCTTCCAATGAAAGTTTTGACGAAAAAGAAAAATATGGTTTAGGGTTTGGGGTTAGGGTAAGGGCTAGGTCTAGGGCTTATGGATGATGTGGGGAAAATTTTTTTTGGCGGGGGCATTAGGTTATGCTGCATGGATTCTTGGTTTAGGTTTAGGAAAATTTAGGGTTTGATAGGCTCTGATATCATATTACATTGTTCTATGGCTTCTAGAAGATGTTTCAGATGTGGGTTTTGCGGGGAGGTAGTTGTGGAAGAGCATGAGAAGGAGGATAGCAGGAAT